AAATAAAAAATAAAAAGGTTTGAAAGAAATCTCTCTCTCGAAAGTTTGAAGCGTATTTTTGTTCTTTCCAATTGACAATTGTGCAAAAGTTTTTATTTAGAAAAGGTTTCACTTGTATAATGAATATTAAGATACAAAATGTTTTTCCCTCATTTCTCAATTTTGTTGTTTAATAAATTCTAGACTGATGCGATCTTTACTGTTAAATTAGTTATATAATTAGAATATTAGGTAAAAAAGAAAGTATCAGAGATGACTAAGAGGAGACGAGATCTAATCTAACGGCATGATCTAATTATGGTGATGATCATAGTAGGAAAGATGTAAAGAAAAAAATAAAAATAATAAAATACATAGTTCTAAAAATTTTTACCATCTAGTTCCAAGCTAAAAGTTAGGATAATTTGAGAGGCTAGAACTCCCATTTTTGTATAGAAAAATAACAAAAGTATGATAATTTTATGCAATTATAATTTTGTTAGAGTTCTAGTTGACTAACATAGTAAAATTTTATTCTAATTTTAATTCTAATTGACTAACACTATGAAATTTTATCCCACAAATTATCCTAGTTCTACTTTTGAGTTTTATTTGCCTAATCCCCCTTTAGGAACTCCGTAGAGTTCAAAGGGCGTTCTCTATGAGAGGCGCTACAGGCACACCCCTGGGCACACCCTCAGTCACACTCCCTCTCCTGCTACAGTGCAGAGGGGCCCACATGAGATTTTTTTAAAATCTCATGTGGGCCCCTGCACTGTAGCAGGAGAGGGAGTGTGGCTAAGGGTATGCCTCTATCATTTTTCGTTCTATATACCTCTTAAAAGTTGAAAACTGCTGAGGTTAATAGTGCTACCCTTTTGGTAACACAAGAGTACTAAAATATTGGTTGTTCTTGAGAAATGACTTATTTACGAAGGAGCCCAAACAACTCAAAACGCTAATTACCGTTGAGTACTCTGCACAAAATCTTCTAGAACGACCACCGAAATGCTACAAAATTGATTTGACCTAGTTAACCATGTTCATTCATATCTAACCTGAAACCTGAATTGATCACACTTCATAAGCATTTCCATTTAAACAAACAAAAAAATGTTAGAGTCATCATCTTTGGCTGTTAAAGCCATCATCTTATGGCACCCACCGGCCTACGGCCATAGTTCTCACCGCCTACCTTCCTCTTTGAACGGTAGGTAGCCTACGGCCATAGTTCTCACCGCCTACCTTCCTCTTTGAACGGTAGGTAGGCGGTGGGCACTGTAGTCATAGGCCGGTGGGTGCCGTAAGATGATGACTTCAACAGCCAGAGATGATGACTTTAACAGCCCCCCGCAAAAAGTCACGATGGATTAAAAACTGAGAGTTTGGATAAAAAGGAAGCCTTGGTAAACAAATCTGCGACTTGATCCTTAGAAACAACATATGAGAGTGTAATGTTGCCAGCAATATGCCACTGTCGAACCACACTTCAATATGTTTGGTACGCTCATGAAAGACCGGATTTGTGGAAATGAAGATGACACTCTGATTATCACAATATAAAGTGATAGGGGAAGTAACAAAGACATCAAGATCTCGCAGAAGAGTGTGGAGCCATTTCAGCTCAATTGTGGTGTCTACTAACGTCATGTGCTCGGACTTCGTACTAGAATGAGAGACAAACGCTTGACGCTTACTACGCCAAGAGATGGGAGATGATCCCATAAAATACAAAAGCCAGTAGTGGAACGCCGGGTGTCCGAATCATCAACCCATCCAGCATCAGAATAAGCACGAAGAGACAAAGACGAGTCTGAGGGGAAAAAATAATTATTGAGTTATAGTGCCACGGAGATATCGAAAAACCCGAATAAGAGCTGCATATACACACATAATCAGTAGCCTAATAGTAGGCACAGTAGGAGGCGGCTGAGGTGGCAGCTAATGCAGCTTGGACGACTGTAGGGCGGTTGTCAGGCTAGGAGGTGGCGACGGCTGTTGTTATCTAACACCGCCCTTCAAACTCACGGTGGATCGAACACCGATAGTTTGGATAAGAAGAGCCAGTATTTACAAAAGACACGTGATTGAGAGTCGATGAAAGAGTCTTAACTGTGGTGACAAAATCGATAATATATGATGTTAATCCAGGAGCATCGATAAGAGAAACCCAACAGCTGTATGAGCGATCGGGTAGGATAGGAATTCTAGAGCATCGATGGAGAAGAACTCAATGTCGACGAGATGAACAACAAGGATAGTAATCCTTATACATCAATGGAGAAATTTGTAGTAGCAATGAGATCGAATAGCGAGGGATAGAAATCCTTGTACATCGACGAAGAGGATATTGAGAGTCAATGTCGAGACTGTGAAGAGGAGAAGCTCGTTGCGAGGAAAATCTCAATAGTTGTTGTTGAGGCCGTGAAGAAGATATCTCGCATAAAAGAAAGAGACCCGAGTCTTAGCTGAAATTCCGAATGTGACGGGAATGGGTTTTAAAAGGGTCACCGATATGAAGGACAAATTTTCAAAACCAACCTTTTTGATTTTTTTATTTGTAAAAAACGACCCATTTTCCAAATATTTATAAAAACCGACCTGGTTTCAGCCTCAGCGCTGAAACCAGGTCGGTTTTTGAAAAAAGTTTCAGAAACTTCACGGGAGTTGAACTCCCGTGAAGTTTAGCAGCTTTTAATTAAGCTGCTAAACTTCACAGGAGTTCAACTCCCGTGAAGTTTCACAGTTCAAACTTTTTTTTTAACTGTGAAACTTCACGGGAGTTGAACTCCCGTGAAGTTTAGCAGCTTAATTAAAAGCTGCTAAACTTCACGGGAGTTCAACTCCCGTGAAGTTTCGGAAACTTTTTTTCAAAAACCGACCTGGTTTCAGCGCTGACGCTGAAACCAGGTCGTTTTTTGTAAATAAAACTGAAATAGATCGTTTTTTACAAATAAAAAACCAAAAGGGTTGGTTTTGAAAATTTGTCCCCGATATGAATGAGCAGCTCGATTGAATGCCAAGAGGTGTACCAATGTTTAATAGAACATTGAGGAGAAGCTCGACATGTAGTCCATAAAGAAAAAAAAAACAATTCCCCAGTATCCCAAATGGTGAATAGGAAGCTTAGGCTTGTTGAAATTGGGATGATAGGATACGAATAGGTGTTGAGCAACATGGGTATCGGTAATCTACTTTTCTGTACGAATGGAAGGATACAATAATTACTATTCATTCTATAGTAATTCTCTTTCCTCTCCCCTCTCTTCTCACCGCGTTATTAGGGGGGATTATTGGTTGAGACATTTTGGGGGATAATGGGATAATTCTGGGGATTCTATTTTAAAGTGTTATTCATTGGGACAATGATACAAGGATAATACCTTTTTGTGTTATTGGTTTTTTAGAACACTAGTGAGACAATTACACCACTTGGGATAAAATTACCCCTCATATACAAAATTTTTATCCTACGAATCCATCCCATCCCCGCCGCCGCCGGCCGCCGTCACTGATCCTCCCTCGAATCGAAAGGTAATTTCTCGCAGGATCTAGGAAGCAAATTTCGGCCCGTTCGAAGCCGACGAGGATGCGGAAGACGGTAAGCTTTTGGTTCTTTTTAGGGATTCTGCCTCTTTATTGTTTTCGTTTGGTAATTTTTTTTATAGATATTTGCTGAAATTGGAGAAATTTTGGTGATTTAGGGCTTCATTAGAGACTATGCACAGTGGGAAAAAATTTAGTTGGTTCGTGTGTTCTATTGTTTCTAACTGAATCTGCAATTATAATTGTTGGAAATTAGGGTTTCAGTCCTTTTAGTTAATTTTGATGAATTAGTTTCTTTTTTTTTCTTTTTTGAGCTGAATTGAGGAAATTAGGGGTGGAGGACTTTGTTAGATAGTATTTGCACATACAAGAGGGGAAACTTGAGTGAGTTAGGGAGGGTTAGATTTGTTTCTAACTGGATCTGCAGTGATGATTGTTGAAGATTAGGGTTTTGTTCTCTTGCAAGTGACACAATTTATCAGTTGTGTGCTCTAATTTTACATTGATTGCTGATGAAATCTATATACTTTTAAAGTTTGGAAATTTTACATTCCTTGCTAAGTTTCTGGGATGGAAGTTATATATTAAATTTGCCTATGGAGAGAATAAGAACCTAGAATGTCATATGATAAAGGAAAAGATAGTGAAAGCAAAGACCTTTATGAGAGCAATGTAAGGTAGAATTGAGAATTTAAGAAAGAAGAATGAATTTGAGGGAGATCGGAGTAGTAGGAGGAAGTTCTTAGTTGCTCATATATATATATATATATAAATTTTTTTTTTCATTTAAGATACTTATACTCGACTGACGTCTCACAATTAGTAGGGCAAGAAGGTTGAAGGAGAGGAGAGAGAAAACATTGATAAATATTTTAGTTGAAGAACATGTAAAGATAAAATGTTTTTCTGTTTTTCTCTAGTGAAACCTGTTTAATGAGTTGAAAATTGTGTTCTATCTTGCTACTACGTGTTTAAAAGCATTGCTTCTGTGTTGATGCAACATTTATTACAACTTGTTATATTGTTATGCATATTTGTAGGGAAGTAGTATACTTTTCATTTTGATGCATGATCTATATATTACCACTTCTTTTGGTTAGTCATGATGATGATGGTCTATTGTGGATCTAAGGTTACCTAAGGTGCACTTATTCTAAAGGAAGAGCAACTACAATCACAATGTCATCATAATCCTGTTTCTCTATCCTCTACTTCTACTCACTTTCTTCTCATTTTTTGGGTACTATTTGTACTCTGAACAGGTGAGGGATGAACTTGAACATCTACTGGATCATGACATGGATATGGCAGAGATGTACCTTTCGGAGAAGCTTATGTCTAATCGAGTTGGCGAGATGTCTTCGAGAGGGGATCTTGACAATGATGGTTCTGTCGGAGAAGCTTATGTCTAATCGAGTTGGCGAGATGTCTTCGAGAGGGGATCTTGACAATGATGGTTCTGAAATGGATGAAGAGGCGAGATGTCTTCGAGAGGGGATCTTGACAATGATGGTTCTGAAATGGATGAAGAGAGGTAAAATACCTATATTTTTGGAGAGATTTAATTCTCTATGTGGCAATGAAGATGTTTCAGGCAAATTGTGATATCGCAGGCATCATTTGGAACTTTTTCTTGAAGTTCTGCTCACTAATCGTGTCACTGAAATATTGGGTGAAAAGAGCTGTTTCTTTGTGGACCTAAGATTTAAATTAAATAAACCATAGGACCTGTTAGACCTGGACTATGCATGCAATTGGCGTTCATTACCTATAGAAAAATTAATTGTCATTTAATTGATATAATTTTCTGTATGAACCTGAGGGGAAGCGTTGACAATAAAATGCCTTCTCTAGAGAGTAGAAATTATGATGATTCACACCATGCACGTTTCAGCTTAAATAGAGACAATTTTACAGAGAAACAGACACACCAAGAACAAAGTCTTTATGCCAAACTTTTTGGTTGATCACAGGAATTTATTATTCCATTCGGTAATGAAAGGGTCAGCTCCCATGTTAGTTGAACTGCATAGGCATATGAAACTTTTATTACCAGGACAGGTATTTCCATACATAAAGAGTATCCTTATGGAAATATGAACATAATAATAGTTTCTTATGTTCACTAAACATCCAATATCCACCTATTTTACCTTGATTCCCTACTTTATTAACCTAACCACGTCAGCAATACGGTTCAATACTTCGATAAATTTGGTAAAAATAGAAAATTGAAATTTAAAAAAAATCTTTGATTAGGTTATTGTGCATGGATACTAATCAGGATAGAGAATATATTTGTGCTTATATGAAGGGAAGTGAATACGTAGAATTCCAAGAGAACAACTTGAGCATTATTTAGTTGTGGATTCACATATAGTTTCCTATGAACATTATCAGAAGATGACTAAGAAGCATGCATTTTATGTGATGATGAACATTCGGTACTGGAAAGCTTGATCCACAATCATTCTAGAAACATAACTAGCATGGTTAAAAATAGCATCCAACCCAAGAAAAGGGAAAAGCACACTGCTAGGCCCTTGCATTTGTTGTTGAATTATTAGCAATGGATAAAGGTCAATCTTCGTTCTCACATGATGCATTACTTTCATTCAAATCTGTAAGTTCAAAGCGCAAGGCACAGTGCTGAGAACTTATGAGATGATTTTTTTGGGTACAGATTTACTTATGTTTTTAGTAATTATATAATTCTTGATGCTGTTTGATTTTCTAATGTGTAATATGTCATATATCTTCAGAGATGAAGATTTTAAAAATGAGACAGAGAACAGCCATGGAAGTTATATTGGTTTCAAGCCTAGCATTGAAGATCTGGAGATGCTCTTAGAGGCCTACTTTGTGTAGATAGATGGTACCTTAAACAAACTCTCCACTGTAAGTTATTCTTCTTTTTATACAAGCATCTTCATCAATGTTAAATATCAAGCTCACTTATTCAATAAAGTTTTAGTATTTATGAAATAAGAGGAGAACAAGGAGAAAATTATATAGAAATAATGTAAATTGCACAAGGCTCCAGTATTAGACCAAATTCAACGTGTACTATCTAATTGTGTGGGTGGCATCAAAGAAACTCAATAGACTTTGCTATTGAACACAATCTAATTGTTGGCATTGAGGAGATTGGGATAGTTTATGTACACAATGCTGTGAAGAGACTTGATAGGGGATATTAGATATTAATTTATTAATGATGTGACTAACACAATCTTAGGATAAATTGAGTGTTGTGAGAAATAAGTTTGTTTGATGCTTTACACTTGGATCTACTCCTCTATACTTATAGGAGGATCATTCACTATTCATATATAGTAAATACTTCTTTTAGCATGATGAAGATGCTAATTTCTATTTATAATGATTAAATTTGATTTAGCTAATCTTAATAGTGCGTAATTCTGATCATATCCCTAACCCTTATGTTTAAACTTGATTTAGGTAATCTCTTTTGTTGTTTTTAATGAAGATTTGGTTGTTAAGTTTTAATGGGTCTTGTTTGTTCGTGGGTTAGGGATTGGAGATTGATTACGTTAGAGATGATGATGGATGGATCGAATCGGAGGGTCAACTCGGTTCATCGTAGTTATGAAACAATAATTTTATTACGCTTTTCAATTTTAAAATTTAAATACATATTTTCACACATTTATGCACTGAAAAGATTGACCTTTATTGTGCTATTTCGGTTTCAGTTTTGAGTAGTTATTTAATCTTTAGAAATTTGGTTAATGATGGCTAGGGATGTTATAACCATGAAGATAAAAGCTAAAGTTTCTAAATTTCGTCAATAACAGTTAAGGATCATTTTTAGAAATTTTGAAGGGCTTTTATTGAGGAGAAAATGAAGATTTCTTTTGCCATAGTTGGCGAGAGAATGAACTACTGTCTACTGATATGTGCTCAGATCTGAATATTTCCTCTAAAGTAATGAACTATTGATATGTGCTCAAATTTAAAGATTTCCTCTGTCAAAATTTTGTTCATTTTCTATTTATTTCTCTTTAACATTAATAACGAATCTTTAGAAAGACACATTAATAAAGAGTATTATACTTAGTTGATGATTTATAGTAGTGAATTTTAATATTTGATAATATTTGTTTGGATAGGTCAATTATCATATTCTATAATTTTTCGCTTAGAATCAATGATAGGGAACTTCTATGGTTTTCAGGTCATGGAGAAGGTCGTTAAGAAGATCTCGGAGTAGGAAATTTCCTCGCCTAAATAATCCAAGACCCCGTTTAGGCCTGCAATAGTTCTATTTCAGGTTTTGCTCTTATTTCTCTTCTTTTTTTGGCTTTGTTTCTTTTTTCCCCTAATGATAAATATATGATATTATAATGTTTGTCTTTGAGGCACGATATAGTTAAGAGGTTAGTTTGCATTATTTTGTATGATGAAGTAAAATATGCATTAAGAGATAACTCAATTCGTAAAAATTCATGATTGGTTGTCACTCAAGTGACTGACTCATGAATATATGTTATATTGAATGTAGAGTTTTGTTGCTATATTGTTTTATTAGGCATTTATGTGTGAGCTGTTGGAGTAGTATTGTTATATTTGCACCATACAATATTATTAGGCATCTATTTTCCAAATGCAACTCATTTGAAGTTCTCCATAGTTGCTAGCTGTAGGAACCAAATTGAGATCAAACAACATTAACAAATTGTGACTTAATTACATGTAAATGCAACATAATGCTCTATCCCTTATCTCACGAATTTTCTCAATTTACTACTTATAGTTGAACTCTCAAATAATATTTTTATTATTTTTCGAAGGTGTTTCCCCTTTCAAAATTGGTTATAGTTGAACCCTTTTATTCATTCTATTTTACCCTTTTAAAACTAAGAGGGGTGTTCCAAGTGCAATGGTAGAAAAGAGGCGAGGATCGTGCTTGGCACGGGGCACATACTAGTGTTGTGGAATACCTTGTTGAGAATTAACTTTTTTTTTGAATAAAGGATGGGCCTGAAGATGGGCTTGAAGGTTAGACTTAGATAATAGGCCAGTCTCACGATCTCTCTCCTCCTACCAAATCTCTGATCCTTAAAATGTCATCAAGCCGCTTTGGGGACTTCAATCCGATCGCGATCGCGTCGGCGAAACCGAGAAGCTGGATCGCCGATCCGCGGCAAGATTTGGCGAGGGCGAGATCGGCTATCGAGGAAAGGTTCGAGAAGATCTGATCGCAGAGGAGGCGCTCGCTGGGAAAGTGGATGCGAACGGAGAGAGCGACGCCTTGAATCCACCGTTGGATCTCGTCTTCTAGAAGACTCCAGGGAATTGAACGGATCTCTTCGCCAGTTTTAGGGTGGAGGCCGAGGCCAAGCCGCATCCGTGAGAAAGAAAGAGCGAGAGAGATCACGTGGCCGATGTAGATGTTGAGTTCCGCTGCTTCGTCGAGCGGCGGTGGAGAACAAACAATGGCGGCGAGCGGCGACGAACGACTGACTAGCGGCGACGACAAGATCTGGCTGGTTTTGAGCTTTTGAGTGAAAAGACCCGGAAAAGAGCGCGACGAAAGTAGGTAAGATCACTAGCTAAATCTAATGGATATAGCCTCCCTGAGTCTGTCGCTTCTCGGTTCGGATCAGATGGAGGCGGAGCTGGCGACACGAGTTTGTCAGAGACGGAGGCGATTTGGAGTAGCAGCGATGGTTGAGCAGGGGCGACAAAATTTTAGTTTGTTAGTGAGGAAGCAGACTGACGATAGTTGAAGCCGCTGAGGCGAAGCATGGGGAAATCCCTCGGCGGCACCGAGACCGGAGGAAAAGGAAGTGGTGTGTCTAGAGCTGTAAGACTTGCTCTAATACCATGTTAAGTTGGAATTGAAGAACTTGAACTTGATATTGATGTTGATTATCAGATCAGTTACAATATATATAGAGCAAAACTTGTGTTAACTTAAGTGGATAGCAAAATGTTGTCCACCAAACTTTTTAGCCACTCATATTGCCTAGGGATCCTTGCATGATATGAAAAAGTTTTTTATATTAATAAATGAGTGGCTAGGAAGTTTGGTGGACATCAACTTAACTTGATAGGAGTCTTACTATATATACCTGAAAACCAACTTTAATTCTTAATTCTAGAATAGTCATTGCGAGCAATTTTAGGCAACAATTTAAAGATAAAAATATGAATTGTGAAGATTGATTTGCATCATCCACCAAAAGAACAATGCATTTGAGTCATCCAAAATTTTGGCTACTTTTGATAAAATTGTACCATGACCGGTGTATCTGTTAAATTGATCAGGATTGCAGGTTACAAGATTAGTCAAAGATGCCTGCAATTTTCTTGAGACTGTTATGCAGACGCCATTAATAGTTGTAACCATCATAAAGGCAGAAATGGAAACATAACTAGCTACGAACATGATCCTCTGAGAAATATAAAATGAAATGAATCCAAGAACATAGTTAGTCCATCAGTTTCAAATGGGGAAACTTGATATCTATTATTCATGTCACTCGAAAAGATATTTGTTATTCATAAACGATACTAGAAACACCAAATTTACCCACTAGTCAATAAGAGAGAAGCAATTTCTTTGCTGAAATATGGCCGATATAATCAGCTTAACTTTACAAGAATTACTAGAAAAACATTTTACAAGAATTACTAGAAATATAAGATGTAATATTTTAGAAAAATATTACATCTCATCCACTCAAATCCAACTTGAATTTGTCCTAACCTGATATTACTGAATGCAGGTTGGATCAGGTTCAACCCTGGATATAACTTCTCCCCTCTTCTTTTCTACCCTCTTCTTAAATTTTGTTATTTGCTCGATTAATCACTTCCTGTATTGATAATGAAAAGATCAAGGCATTTTATATAATGAAATGTGAAAATTTTCTATCCCTGGCACCTCAGACTCATTATTAGCTAACAGAAGTACATTCAAATTTGGAAGTCCCACTTTACCACATTGAATGTATGGCTAGCAGCCAATATAAGCAGAAAAGTCTTCAATAGATGACGGGAACAAGCGAAATACCTAGGTGGCTTCATTTTAGGAGACTATAATGGCACAATTATACAAATCGTCTAGCAGTTATTGGTGAGGCATATTGCAACAAAATGAGGTAGCAAGTTGTTGAACCTCCTTCTTCGAATGTGCACAAGACTTGTGAAGACCATAAAGTTGCTTTGCCCTTTTGTCATAATCATTTGCCAATGCAGAAATGACCTACGCAATAAATTTCTTCGGAAAAACAGTATTGCTAATATCTCCTTTGTTCTAAAGTAATTCAATATTGCTTCAGAATGATCCATAACACCCTGTAAGTAAAGATAGCAGTAAAAAAGCAATTTCTTGTGATATACGTTCCCAAGGTGTATTCTTGTAAAAATGAAATGTATCATCCTTAGTTCATTCAACAGATTTCTTGTCAGAGGCTTCTTTTTATTCTGCTTCTGGGTATCTCAGTTGTGGGAATTAACATGTATTGTCATTGCCGTTATGTTCTTTTGATTTATGGTTTATTTTCGGGTGATGTAGTGAAGCATGGATACCTTAATAGGGAATAAGTTTGGCTACCTATAGGATAATTCAATACTTGATGATCACATGCTAATACACTTTTTGATGTATCAGAAAATCTTCAACATACTCTTGGAGGTTGAAAAAAATTAAGATCAGTTTAAAGGCGATCAGCTTAATGATTCGGTTAGGTTTTATGTATATATTTTAAGTGCACCTGTTAGAGAGAGTGATAGGATCGAAGTAAATATTGCCACAATAACAAGATTAGGCCTAAACAAAGAAAGATGGTGGTAATTAAAAGGATTCATGAGTTGTTAATTTAACTGAAGGGGATGTAGTAAATAGTAATGAATGGAATAAGTGGAATCGTGTTGCCGGTCTCAATTTTTTGTGGTATAGATAAAAGGTGATGCAAGGCCTAATATCGTACAGAAAAAAAAAATTTGTTCCTCCACAAAACAAAAAAATCAAAGTAAAGTACATAATGCACATCTAGAGACACATTAGTAAGCTTTGATTTTGAAGAAAGTGTCCTACAATATCTGTGATCTCCTCTGTAAAGTGATTAGTGTGAGCTCAGAGGGTACGAAAAGCAAAAGAAAAGAACTTTGTCTGATAAAACAAAGAGCCAGCCCTTAGGTTCAATGGATGAATCTTTGACCAACACAAATTGAATCTTCAGATATTTTTTTGGTGGATTCAACTATGAGTCCTTTATTATGGAAAATATAACAGGACTCACAAACAGCTACACAAGTTAGGAGTCATCCTTTGGCAAGAATGAAAAGCCAACCTACTTCCATCATTCTTCTTATTGATGTAAGGTCATTGATGACACAAATATGCACAAATAGTAAATTTAGAACCAATGTAATCACTTTGAGGCTTTTTCTAATGAGTTTCTTCTTCCCCTCAAGATGTCGGAAGTAAAGGGGAAAAAGATATCTAAAGCCAAAACACTATCCTTTGAAGTGCCAATTGTGATTAAGGAGGTGCACTCTCTTAAATTATTGCAGTCTCTTGAAGTGCATGAGATCATGTCGCATGTTAACATCTTTATAATTGAGTGTTTGTTGTTTATTGAGCATATCTTGTATACAATTAAGGCTTGATAACTATCTTAGCATCCACTGCCTATGTCATGAACTCTTTATCTGTTTCCATATTGTCTCTTCAAGATATTGCATTCACCGTTGCATTCATTTAATCTAGTAGAACGAGACCAGAAACCCAATTTGCATTATTACACTAATGTATTAAGCCAGCATCTGTTTACCCTAATCTTGTGCTGTTTGCTGATGAATATTATCTTATTCACACAATACGCTGATGTCTTTTTCTTTTCTCCCCATCTTTTAACTGTCAGAAATTACTTGTATTTGCTATAAATTACGTGTAAGTTCTTACCTTTTTCCTTGATTTCATAACTAGCATTTCATGTTGCATAAGGACTGCACTTGTTTCTTCCATTCTGAAGTTTGAAATTATGAGTCATTTCTATTATGGAGTCCCTTCTCGACTTAGAATATGTACAGAATGCCACTTTGACGACAAAAGGGCACAAATCATCACGAAGAAGATGTTCATTTGATGATTAGACAACCAAACCGCTGCGCACTGTGGCTATTTTCTCGACGATGTTTGTGTGATTTGATTTCTTTGCCTGAGCTATCCAAGTACCAAAACCATGGGTGTATGTATATCCTGATCATGATATTTCTCCTTTTTCAGCACCACAAACTCTTAATGAGAGCCTTTTGTGTGCTCCTCAATCTTAGCTACAACTAGGAAACCCCACGCTCATTCTGATATGTGCTCGACACGGGGTATGACATTTCATTTCAGTGTCTGCCCCTCTTTTCCTTAGTTCTTGTGGAAAGATCATCATTAATGCACTTTGAGAAGATTCTGGCACAACCAGAAAGATGAGCAGACAACCACATCTTGCCTCCTTTCATCTCTAAGAGATGCCAGGGGACATAGAAATGATTGAATCTGTTTGAAAATGGATGTGAAGAAAACATTAATTATAGCGTTTGGCAACCGTGGCGTTTTTGCCGTTTCTGTTTTTTTTTTCAATAAAAACAATAAAACGCGTTTGGCAACCGGGACGTTTTTTGACTTGACCCTTTACAAAATCCAAAAAATAAACACTTTTCTCAAAACACCAAAAATGTGTTTTGAGATTTCGTTTTTTCATCTAAGCCGCCGCCGCCCGCTATAGGCCAGTCTCACGATCTCTCTCTCCTCCTACAATCTCTGATCCTTAAAATGTCATCAAGCCGCTTTTGCGGGCTTCAATCCGATCGGCGATCGCGTGCGACCGGAAGCTGGAATCGCCGACCGCGGCCAAGATTGGCGAGGCGAGATCGGTATCGAGAAAGGTTCTGAGAAGGATCTGATCCACTGAGGAAGCGCTCGCTGGAAAGGGATGGCGAACGGAGGGGAGAGCGACGCCTGAATCCACGTTGGCTGCTCGTCTTGTCTAGAAGACTCCGGGGAAGTTGAACTGATTCTCTTCGCCAGTTTTAGGTGGAGGGCGGGCCTTTGTTTTTTTTGCCTTTTTTTGCATCCGGAGAAAGAAAGAGCGAGAGAGATCACGTGGGCCCAGATGTAGATGTTGGTTCCGCTGCTCGTCGAGCGGCGGTGAGAACAAACAATGCGGCGTCGGCCGACAACGACTGACTAGCGGCGACGACAAGATCTGCCTGGTTTGGCTTGAGTGAAAAGACCCGGAAAGAGCGGCGATTTTTGATGACGCTGGAAAGTAGTAGGGATCACTAGCTAATCTAATGTGATATAGCCTCCCTGGAGTCTGTCGCTTCTCGGTTCGGATCAGAAATGGAAGCGGACTGGGACAGCGCGAGTTTGTCAGAGACGGAGGCGAATTTGGGAGTAGCAGCGATGGTTGGATCAGGGCGACAAAATTTAGTTTGTTAGTGCAGGAAGCAGACTGACGATAGTGAAGCCGCTGAGGCCAAGGCATGGGGAAATCCCGGCGCACCGAGACCGAGAAAAGGAAGTGGTGTGTCTAGAGCTGGTAAGACTTGCTCTAATACCATGTTAAGTTGGAATGAAGAACTGAACTTGATATGATGTTGAGTATCAGATCAGTATCAATATATATAGAGCAAAATTGTGTAACTTAAGGGATAGCAAAATGTTGTCACCAACTTTTTAGCCACTCAATATGCCTAGTTGGATCCGTTGCATGATATGAAAAAGTTTTTTAAGTTAATAAAGAGTGCTAGAGAGTTTGGTGGACATCATACTGTGAACTTGATAGAGTCTGACTATATATTGATATATTTGGTGGACAACCTTTGCTATCCACATAATCACCTTAGTTGACCAAGTTTGCCCTCTTTAGTAGTAATTCTATATATATATAGTATTATATATAGTATTATATATAGTTTATTTTTTTTTTTTTTATTTTTTTTTTTTTTTTTATGGTATATATAGGTATATATAATATAGTATATATATAGTATTAGTACTATTATCATTCGCTTTCATTCGGTTGCACTTGCTTCTACTACAAAAATAAATGCAAAGGGTACGTGTATATACCAACGACTATTAGAATTATACGGCAGTAAGATACTATGAATTATCAAATAATATGTGTAATTCATCTAATATTACACTTTTTACCCCCTCTCACTCAGGTGTTCTCTTCTGGTGTTAGTTTGGAGCAAATCTATTTGAGATATGGTAGCCTTAGGCACTGGAATTCCCCAAACCAAGCTCTCGGGGATTTGTCACAAGCCAATTAAGCAAAGGTCATTATCAGGCAAAAAAATGTTTTTTTAATAAACTTATTTTATCATTCTTTTCACTTAATTCTTCCTTTTCAACTTATTCAATGAACATGAATTGCCATTTCTATTTCTTTTTCCAGGTTATTTCATAAGAGTCAGGTTTCGAAATGTGATATTGTATCTGCATTTCACAGTTCAGACAGAGAGCACCACCACTCACTCTCTTATAATGCATCGTCTCTGTATATTCCATCTAAAGATAGAAAATTTTTGGGGAATTCATCTTACTCCTCTGAAGCGTGCTCTTCTGATGAGAACATGGTTGGAGCTTCTTCGACTACTGCACGTGAGAAGGTTGGAGTGCTGTTGCTGAACCTTGGAGGCCCAGAGACCCTTCAGGATGTGCAGCCGTTTCTGTTTAATTTATTTGCAGACCCAGTATGTGATCCGATTCTAATTTGCCAATAAATCACTTTTGTTTCTTGCTTTATGGCTTATTTTTAATTACTAATTTGCCGATCTGATTTTTATTTCATCTGTTAAAATTGTGCATCTATATAGTAAGAGAGGGGTCCTTTTTTGTTTCTTGTGGGAAGCTTTGGTTTGTGATACCATATGCTTGTATATATGACAGTTGATGTTCCGTTGGCTCTTCTTTCCTTTTATTCTCTTCATTTTTTAGTGCGGCTTGGGTAAGAAGTTGGTTTTAGGTGAATTGAGAAGTGGAGTGACAAGGGAAAGTTTTATTTTGGAGTCATGAAATTGGATTCTGTTCTAATAGAAGTTTTAAGCTCTAAGCATGCTATATTTTAGAATCTAATTTGACTTTCAATCTGATGGGAGCTGAATTTGACGTCTGATACTTCAAATATACTTCGACGTGTAACCTGATAGGAATTCAATTTTCTTCGTAAAGATAGAAATACCAGGTAAAGTATACTGGAACCAAACTGAATCAACCCAACAAACACTTCGGACCTTACTGGAACCAGCATAATTTAGAATGCTTTACTAAGTCTGTACTAGGATTTTGAATGCCTCCCAAGCGACTAACAAACAAATTTTTTTTGGTGCATATTTCTTAAATTTGGTTTTTTAGAATTGTATGTATTCATATTTCTCAAATTTGGTTGAGAGGTTGGTACAGACTGCGAAGGAGGAGGATAATGAAAGGTTCTTGCTAAAGCTCAGGAATCGAATGGAGCGGTAAAGATTAGATTTTGAATTGAGTATTGAGTTTTGTTTGTTCGTTGTTTTTTTTATTAATTGGGTAATTTTTTTGGTGTTTTGAGGTTGGGATTGATAATCCAACGATTGAGTTCCGATTCGAGCATTTGAACATTGATGCAAAGGCATTTGTGGGGAATCAAGGACATACCTGAACAACATCGAAGACAACACCAAATGTAAGAACATGTTGAAACAAAATGCACTTTGTTCCTTCTTGCTACTGTATCATTTGATTTTGGATGTATAAAAAAAGATATAATCTTATTTGTTGTGCATTTGTTTATTAAACTTGAAAAGAAGAATCCTTACTTAGGTTAACTTTTTTCTTCTGACCCAATATTTATAGTGAGCATTTGACTTGTTGTAGCAAATCATGGTTATCAACTATCTATAGCATGTTGTATTTTAAATGAAGGCTTATTGTGTAGCCTAGAGCTTCTTATGAGGATTTTTTGCTAAACTTTTTTGTGTTGTCGAGTCTTTTTATCATGACTAGTTATTGGAGTAGTATTTTTGTTCTTTGGAGATCGAAGGTCGATCTAGTATTGGATGAAACCATGAAAAGAATGTCATGATAATGAATATTTTGGACATCATTATTATTTTTGTATTCTCTCATACTGGTTCATGAAGGATAAGATGTTTGCATGCGTATATATAATTGTTAATGAAGAGATCACCTTTGATTTTGATTCACTTCTCAAATGTTTATTTCAAATCCAAATTCATGTATAATGAAATATGTCCAAACATTAGATTTTAAATCTTTGATCTCAAATCCTTGCATTTAGTCATGTCATCAAAACAAATGATTTTATCAAATCATGGATTTCAAATCCTAGATTTGAAATCCCTTGATTTCAAATCAAGCTTCCAAATCCAAATCTTAATTCCTAATGCTTATCATGGTCTTCTGTCGTGCCAGTCTGTTCAAACGATTCCCCTTTCTCAATTTTAAATAATGAAATTACCAACGCGCATGTTGTTGCAGCTGAGTACAAATGAATCCTTGTCATCATCAGTTTTGAAAATTCTTTCTTATCGATGACTTCCTTGGCTCTCACATTGCAGGGTCTGCTTTTATCGATAACTAACGCCGTGACCGGATTTGCGAAAGGAAATTACCTGTCTGCTTCGCGTTGAGAGAGAAACAATTGGTTACCGACGATTCCCACCATTTTTTGTTTCTTATTAACTTTGGTGTCCAATAATTTACTCACTTTACACAGGAAGTGAAGGCCACCACTTCTCATATGTTACGAGATGGAAGGCTTGGATTTCTTTCTGACATGATTTTTTTTTTAAGATATTGCTCCCTCAAACCTTTCATATTCTTAAAATCATTGTATTGCTGTTTAGTCCCCGAAATCGCATAGGTCAATCACAGATTATTTATTTTTCAGTCCAATTTCTTAGCTCTGGTTGGATAGTGATTATCCCAAGACCACAAACATTGGATCGGATTTGGGCGCTAAACGGATTTGATTTGCACTAAATTTGTGGAAAGGGATATAACTGAAACCCGAAAAAATAAGTCCCCAAGTTGATAATCAACGTCTCAATTTCACTTGCACACCGCGACTAAATGTGGGACAGAGTAGGGTTAATCATGAAAATTTCCGTGTGTAGACGTAAGTCCTCATTTATTGACCAACTTAGGAGTCCTAATGAGTTCTATGTGATTATCTGTATTTAAATTCATGAATAAAATATATTACTTAATAATATATAATGTATATATATTGAAATCAAAATTTTCATTAGAAAATATATTTAAGATTATTTAAGTCTTAAACTTAGTACATAAAACTTAAATTGAAATGGTAAGTGGGTTAAACATATGACATCATATGTGCATTAATACAAATAATAAGTGATCAAATTTTAAACCAATATTTGATAGACAAACAAATCGAATATACATGTGGTTAAATTCTAAAAAATATTTGTTTTGTGGCAAATGAATTCTCGAATCGAATATGACCAAATAGTTAGTCGAACAATTATTGAACTATTTGTTAATTATTTGGTTCATTTCCACCCATAGTGCTAAATATAAATGCTGATAGTGATACCAATCTTCCAAAATTTATGCCTCAAATACTAGATCCAGACCATCTTAATCTTGAAGCATGGATTAAGAAAATTAGCTCTCAGTGTTATATTTGAATCACTATCATCATCTACGCAGTTCCTGAGCTTAGGCATTCATCATTCATTGACTTGGTTTTAGTTTAGCAACTCAATAACTTTACTATTAGATCATTATCCTAATTTCGCTTATCGTATGCTTTTCTCGTATGGACTTCAATTGGAATACATCCCATACGTACGTTAAACTGGTAGTTAAACAATTTGGAAAAAAAAAAAAATTGCAGTGTTAATTCAATATTCTCCAATTTGAACGTTAAACTTTGTAGGCTGTTTCAATTAACCTTTGTTTTAATCAATACCTTGTCAGGTTTGTAAACAGGAACAGCAACTATCAAAACTATGCTTCACACGTAGTTGGAATTATGACTCGTACGCTTGTACACAATCACATGGCTCAGTATGAACCCTCATCATCAAGTTTGAAAATTCTGAAGGCAACTATTAATCCAAGCAAAGTTCAATAATCATGAACCCTCATCATCAAGTTTGAAAATTCTGAAGGCAACTATTAATCCAAGCAAAGTTCAATAATCTGTCTCCAAGCCCCACCAGTTTATTCTGTTATTATTCACTTTTTGGGTTCCCACATCACTTAACGATTGGCTCATAAGGAGCCCTCATCATCAATTTTGAAAATTCTGAAGGCAAGGAATCCAAACAAAGATCAATAATTGGTTTCCAAGCCCCCACCATTTTGTTCTCTTATTATTCAATTTTTGGGTTCCCACATCACATGGCGTGTTTCGTGGCCTTTCAATTCCGCCTGCAAACCGCAAGTTGTTGACTTGAGCTGCGCAAAGAAGTTGATATTCATCCTCTCAATTCCGCCTGCAAACCGCAACTTGATGTGGGGGCGGAGTGGGGTTTATCATAACATAATTCGGAGTGTGGATATAAGTCCCCCATTTCTTAAGTTGTGGGGGCGGAGTGGGGTTTATCATAACATAATTCGGAGTGTGGATATAAGTCCCCCATTTCTTAAGTGATGTAGGAGAACCAAGGAGTTCTCTGCAACTCTCTGCAATTGAAGTTTACATCTACTACTAGAAAGCAAAAGCGAAGAGCGTTCGCTACTCATAAAAACATGGTGGTGGTTGGAGACGTGATTGTGACCAAGATCATCGAGAAGTTGGTGGAGATCGGGTTCGAGTATGCAGCAGACCGGTATTTTGCTCGGGATACTCGGATGAAAGATGAGCTTGAGAGGCTCAAGAAAGCTCTTCCTCGTATCCAAGCTGTTGTGGAGATGGCTGAGAGCAGGCAACGAGAGATCAAGGGAGGACTCAGCGAATGGCTGTGGCAACTAAAAGATGCGTTGGATGAGGCTGACAACGCACTTGATGAGCTTGATTACCTTAAGCTACAGAAACAAGTTGAGGAGAAAGCCTCAGGCAGCAAAGAACATGGTCATAGTGGTAAGTGGTGGCTTTTTAAATGTCCAAAAAAAAATGAAATTTCGCCTTCTTGTTATCGGTTCTTTATTTCATAACTTAAGGTTAGCAACCAGATTCTCAAAAATAATTGATTGTTTTTCAAATTTAATAAATAAAAGAAAAATGAACTTCCCTACCAATTTCACGTGCAGGCCGTGGTAAAGTGCGTGGTTTTCTCTCCGACTCTAAACGGAAAGTTGTAAAAGCTGGTAAAAGAGTCTTCAAATCCGATCCCACCCTCGGGAAACTGAGGGGGGCTGTGAAAAGGCTAGATGAAGTCGCAGCGGGCGTGGGAGATTTCATCTCTACACTACAACTGCCTCAACAACATCAAAGTCAGAGCCCGGTTCCTGCTCGTAAAACTGGACCAGCTCTAACTGAGAAAAAACTGCGTGGACGAGATGAAGAGAGGGAGGAACTGTTAGGGTGGTTGAGAGGGGATGACAGCAGTACAAGTGTATCTCTTTTCTCCATTTTTGGCCATGGAGGAGTGGGCAAGACCACCCTCGCACAACACGTCTATAACGACGAGAGCTCAACTAATTCCTTCGATCCCAAAATCTGGGTGTGCATCTCCACTCCCTTTGTTGCCGAAAAGGTCATGGCACATATGATAGAATACGCCGAGAAAAAGAGACCTGAAGTTAAGGAACTTGCCGCTCTGCAAGAAGCTCTTAAAAATCTGGTTTCATCGAGGAAATTTCTCCTTGTCTTGGATGACGCATGGAATGATGACAATCGTTCTGAATGGGATAAATTGTTTGCTCCTTTGACGAGTGGCCATAAAGGAAGCAAAATCTTGTTAACTACTAGAAGTGTGTCTGTTGCAAAAATGGTTGCATCAGCTTTGGGGGGATCAATAAATGAGCCAATGAAACTAAAACCTTTAGATGATGACAACTTCCTATTACTTTTCAACCAATATGCATTTGCTGGTGTAGACTCTTGTGATTATAGGAAGTTGGAATCCATTGGCGAGAAAATAGCAAGAAGGCTTGGGGGCTTACCATTGGCTGCAAAGACGATTGGAGCGCTATTGAATTCTAAGTTGGATGATAGTCATTGGAACAGAATTTTGCATGCGGACAATATATCCGATCAAGCACAGCAGAGGGATGATGTGACGTCTGTTTTGATGTTAAGCTACAACCATTTACCAATGCACTTAAGACCATGTTTTGCTTATTGCAGCATCTTTCCTCAAGATTATAGGTTCGAGAAAGATGATCTAGTCTTCATGTGGATGGCTCTTGGCCTCATTCAAAAATCTTCCCAATATCCAAACGAGACACTGGAGGACACTGGAAGGGGCTACTTTGACGATTTAGTGAAACTATCATTTCTCGAACAAGGTTACTTCGCAGATGGAACCTACAACATGCATGATCTTTTGCATGAAGTGGCACGCAAAGTGTCTCATGGTGATTGCTTTAGATTTGTCGGAGACATGTCAATTGACCAGATCCCGAATATGGTACGTCATCTGCATTTTGAAATCGACAAACTTGACCTTCTTAAAGATGTGGGCAAACGGAAGAAACTCCGCACGCTTGTGTTAGTCTTCAGAGGATATGTTAATGAGCATGCCAAGGATTTTGAAGAAGCGTTTAAGTCACTGGAAAGCATTCGGGTGCTGCGCCTAGCTGTTGACGGCATGAACGTTTTGCCAGATGCAATTGGTAACCTGAGGCATATTAGGTATTTGTCGATTGGTCATGTTATTTCTCCGTTACCTAGTTCATTCTGCAGGCTCTACCACCTGCAGGTCCTTGCTGGTGGACGTTTTGCTACTCAATCTGTTCTTGGCTTGAATAATCTCATTAGTTTGAGACACCTGATACCATATCAAGTTTACTATGAAAAAATCGAGGGGTTAGGGACATTAACTTCACTTCAACGTTTTTCGTTCGCTGCTGAAGTTTATAAATTGAGTGAATTGAAGGAGATGAGAGATCTGCGGGAACTGAGTATCCGTGGCCTTGAGAATCGCAAACATCACGAGGAAGTCAGTACGATCTGTGGCCTTGAGAGCCTCCTCAAGTTAGAGCTGGTTTGGTCTGATGACAGTGATGTGGCGGATGAGTATGAACTGATGCTTGATCGCCTGCAACCACCCGATAGCCTCAGGGAACTAACAATCAAGGGATACCACGGCGCCAGGTCTCCACGTTGGATGGAACCAGAATTATTAAAAAATCTGGAGCACGTAAGCCTTGAACGTGGCAGGGCATGGAAGCACCTTCCTTCTCTCGGGAAGCTCCCATACATCATGCGTTTATCCTTGAGGGGACTGACAGCTCTTCATCAAATTAACTGTGAAGGTGGCTTTCAACAACTGAAGCATTTATCTTTTTATAATTGTGGGCAATGGGAGGAGTGGTGTGGATTAGAAGCAGAGGCAGTAGTACCCTGGTGCCCTCTCCTCAAGGAACTTGTTATCTGGGATTGTCCCAGACTGAAGGCGCTGCCCCCTCTGCCCCTCGGTCTCAAGACATTGGTGTTGCAACGTGTGGGATTGTCTGATTCCCCGACGCTCTGGGTGGGCAGCAACTGCGGTGGTAGCAGCTGCGGTACAGCTAGCTCTTCGTCCACGTCCTCTCCCTCCCTCTCTGCATTGAGAATTAGAAGGTGTGGAGAGCTGACATCCGTGGCTGGCTTGTTCCGACATCATCTCACGTCTCTCAGCCGGTTGGAGATTGTGAATTGCCCTAAGCTGAGGATGTCTCCAAACGCAGTTACCCCAGTTGATTGTTTCTCTCTCCCATCACTCCGATCCCTTTGGCTTGTTGATTGTGGTGGACCGGACGGTCCCACTCCTGCGTTATTAATGCAAAGTTCCATCACTTCTCTTTCAAGCCTTGGATTAGGTGGAGATAACCACATAACCGCCTTTCCCTCCGAAGTGGAGTGTGGAAGATTTACTTCTCTGAGGGAGTTGTACCTGGCAGGGTGTGGTGAGCTGGCATCAATTGAGCGTCTAAAGGCTCTTCCCCACCTTAAAGAGCTAACCATTAGCGAGTGCCCCAAGCTTGTGCGAGCAGCTGCGGAAACAACTCCAGCATCAATAATCGAGCGGGAAGAGGAGCAGGAGTTCACATCAACTGTTGAAGAACTTGAAATCGATGACCCGTTCCTGCTCCACATAGAGCCGTTGAGAAACCTCACATCTGTCAGATGGCTAGAAATACAAGATTGTAGTCATCTGGAGGCTGCTCTCGCGGAGTCATGGTTGTTGCAGAATTCAACTTCGCTGCGACGTCTCGAGCTGCGGGGTGAAGCAAAGTGCTTGCCTTCTAGCCTCCAAATTCTCTCTTCCCTCGAGTATTTGTCACTTGGTGAAGCTTATGAGCTCCAATCACTGCCACAACTTCCTCTCTCTCTGCAATTTCTGATGATCTTGGGCTGCAGCGAGGCACTGAAGGAGCGATGCCGGGAGAATGAAGGTGCTGATTGGCCCAACATCCGACACATCCCTCACATCACAATTACTTGATTAGCTACTCGGTACGATCTCTCTTCCTCATCTGATGTTGTATGGCATTTTTATGGATAGCTCTGTAATATCCCTAATTTCCTATTGGTAATAAGTCTATGTTATAAATATTAGGGAAAATTGTGTCTAGGCCCAAAAAAATAAAAACGATGTGACCCAGCCCCCCGTATTATTTTTTGTGTGTTAAAGCCCCAAATACATGAAGTAATTATTTTCAACCCCTATTTATATTTTCAAGGCAGCTCAGATAGAAAACTTTTTCCTAAACCCAAAACTACCCTCTCTCTCTCACTCTCTTCTCTCTTCTCCCTCTACACACCCATCCTCTCAACTCTCTGTCAAGAACCAACAGCAACGGCAACCTCGACGGCGAGATTGATAGGTTCTTGAAGGGGGTTTTGGAGGAGTTGAGGGGAAAGAACCGACCCAGCCCCCTTCTCCCTCTTCTATTCCTCACTTCAGACCAAAGCCAAAACCCTTCAGCATCCTCAAGCTCAGACTTAGGGTTTCTTGCTCTTCCCATCCCCAAAACAACGTCGTCGAAAGAACCGACTCCGATGTCGGAACCGAGCAAGAACCGAGCTCAATCTCGTCGGATTCCCAAAGCATCTGGAAGCAGATGAAGGAGATCTCTCTCTTCGCGGGGCCCGCCACTGGTCTGTGAATTTATGGGCCCCTCATGAGATGAGCCTGATCGACACCATGGTTATCGGCCAGGGTAGCTTTCTGGAGCTCGTTGCATTGGGTAATTTCATTTAAGGGAAGAAAAAAAATTACTTTTTCTTCCTTTTTTGGGTTATTGATTTTGTTTTGTTTTGTTTTGTTTGAAGGTCCGGGGACGATGTTTTGTGATAATTTGAGCTATATATTCATGTTCTTGTTTATAGCTACTTCCAACATGGTTGCTACTTCACTTGCTAGAAAAGGTCAGTTGTGAAAATTTGAACTTATTGGGTATGAATAAGGATAAAGTGGATAGCTTTTTGTTTAGTCAGAATAGGCGAATATATAATGCTGGAAGTTTTGGTGTCTTTGTTCTTGGGAACATTGTGAATTTAAAGACTACATATGTGGAACATAAACTTCATAATATAATGTAATCATAGGATCACTTTTTGTCTATTCCTGGGTTGGTAGTTACACCACATTGTCATCACATATTCATGATTATGCCAACTCATCTTCTAACTGAGCTTATCGCCACATGATAGTCCTTAATCTTGCAAAACTTACAAATAATATTTGAATGAGTTAGATGTGTGAATGATCATTAAACATTAGTGTGTGTAATCCCTGACATTCAAAGGGTTTACAGATGCTTCACTCTTTACCGTCTTGAGAGTTTAACTGTGCCAATTTGCTATAACATCAACAACAAAAGCCATATCCTTGACCTTTATATTTGGCTGCATGAACCCCTCAGCTTTGTTAAGCATCATCCCTTTTATAGGATTTATCTTAATTGCTTATATAATGTCTTGCACAGAAGTCCACATTTTAACCATGCTAACTTGTGTCTTAACACACTACATCTACAACATACACACAAGCCTGTAAACTCTTAACTTCTTGTAATTGCTTGACTGTTGGATATGCAAAATCTTAGTTATGTTTCCTATTTACTGACTGTTGGGATCTCTGACTGACCTGCTTAATAAGATACATGTTGGTTTACAGATATTTTTATCTCAACAAATGCATGGAATCTTTGCCTTGATTTTATGTCTATAGACATGGTATTTACACAAAGCAGCTGCATTTTAGAAATCTATATTTGGCAAAAATATTATTTCAAGTGTGTCCTGGTTATTTCATGTAACTTTGCACTTAACATCTCTAATATGGATTCAGGATAAAAATTTGGCACAGGATTAGATATCAATGTTGTTGTTTGTTGCATTTGCTTATGGCGCAACATCTCTAATATGAATGTTTCTATTTACAATGTTATTGGGTGTACAAGTACTAACTGGTTATTTCATGTAACTTTGCACTTTCCTCCTAGTCTGTTAACTTTTCATACTGAATGTTAACTTTCGCTGCTTTATGTTAACTTTCATCCAAACCTGTTAACTTTTCATATTGAATGTTAACTTTCGCTACTTTATGTTAACTTTTATCCAAACCTGTTAACTTTCATTGCTTTGTTTTCGTAGAAGCATTTGAAAGAAGCTATGACCAAGTCTTTTATTTCATCCCATATTATGAGAAGCGAAGTGTGTCAAGAGATGAAATCGAGATATTGCCACCAATTACTACTAAAAGGATGTGAAGAAATAGAACTAGACGTATAAACAATAGAATAATTTACAAAAGTCCACTGAAATGTTCTTGATGCAAAGTTCAAGGTCACAATCAAGCCAATATTCACTCTCTGCATGGGCTTCTGCACTCTCATCGTCATCATGGGGTGATTGTCGATATACTGTTTATATGTCAAAAATCGTTGGTGTAGTATGTTAAAAGCTTTGTTGCTCATTCCTTGGGATGTTTCTGATTAGCATTGTGAATCTGAATGGTTGTTGGTTTTCAAATATAAGTAGCAACTGATGTTGATCTGTGGTCTTATTAATTTTTGGTGCTTGTAACGTGTCATGTTTCATTGTTCAGTTGATTATACTATGTGTACTCTTGGTTTGGTTGTACTTAGATCATAATTTAATGAAATGTATTGTGTCTATTTAATGATCAATTTTTGTGTAATTTATTGCGATTGTATGTGAAATGTATTGTAGATGTCATGTGAATATGTACAAGTTCATTCAAATAGAACTTGATGTGCATAATAAACTAAAAATTATATATAAATTATGTGTATCAAAACCTGAACATGTTTCCTATGTTAACTTTAACTGTTACATGTTAACTTTCATCCTAATATGTTAACTCTCCTCGTAACATGTTAACTTTCAGCTGAACATGTTAACTTTCATCATAATATGTTAACTTTCACTGTTACATGTTAACTTTCATAATAATATGTTAACTTTCTTCATAACAAGTTTTTTTGAACTAAAATTTGATGTGTTTGAAAGGCTGAAAGTCCCTCAAGATGATTTATCATTGATATATAAATCTGAGAGGCACCCAAATCTGAGTATTTCTATTGATAGTGAAGATGATTTGAAGTGCACGGTAGAGCATAATCGAAATAGTGGTTGTATGGAGATTCATATGCAAGCTGTTGTTAATATAGAGAGTTCTATTTTTAAAAATTCAGAAAATTCTAACTGAAATGTTAACATGTTAAAAATTAGAAAGTTCTAATATTGTAGGTCTAATCATTTTGTGTATTCAAGCAATATCAGCTGTAAGAATGTAAGAATTTTATGAAGAAAGTTAACATATTATGGTGAAAGTTAACATGTAACAGTGAATGTTAACATATTATGGTAAAAGTTAACATGTTCAGCTGATAGTTAACATGTTATAAAGAAAGTTAACATATTATTATGAAAGTTAACATATAGAGGGCCCTCTCTGTATTTTTTTTTTTTTTTGAAATATGCTCCAGTGTACGAAATGTAATTAAAATTAAAATTTAAGTCAAAGTTAAAACATGTAATTAAAATTAAAATTTAAGTCAAAGTTAAAACATCATACCAAAATAGAGACAAACATATGCCTCATTGTGCCAACAGACGTGTATTAGAATCGACGTATTGAAACTTCAAGCCCACAGTTATGTGTCATTCTCCCACTCAGTTTAGAGTACAACCACAAAAAAATAGCTAACAAATCATAAGTTCTCACAAGTTAAGACATGTTTTCTTATACAAATATCTTACAAAAACCACTCCAATCTCCATGCAAATCTACAAAATTTAGTATACATGCATTCTTTTGAAAGAAGTTGAGCTTGACCTTCGCAGCTGATGCTTTGGTTCTGGTGGCGGCGCAGAATGTAATATCGTGTCCAACTCCTGGAAAAAAAAAACAAATGAAAAACCGAGTTACTTTGTATTTGATGCTTATTACATAGAACCCCCTCCTCCACCACTTAAAAAAAAAAGAAATCCACCTACACCAATGTACCAGTTTGACACCTGACAGTGCCTAGAGCTTTCGATAACATTGGTTGTAATTGAAATATGAGCTAACACATCATAAATCACGATTGACTAATACTGTGAAACGAACCATATGCAACACAAACCGTGGACTTCTTAAAATTTGAATTTGATGCTTATTACACAGAATCGAAATAATTATACAAAGAAAGCATGGTTTGCAAATATAACAAACTCAAAAAGATAACCCCACTGAAGAAAAGCTAAAAAAGAAACTCATTTGGGCATTTCATCAAACACCTACAACCCCCTACCCCCCCTCCCCCTCCTCAACCTCCCCCACTGCCCATGGACATCCCACTCCTCATAATCCCTCTCGACCATCTTCGTCCCCTCCTCGTTGTTAGACCCTAGAGGGGGGGTGATTAGGGTCTTATGCTAATCTAATCCGATTAAATGCCAATTAAAATTAATTAATACGTTATCCTAGCAAGTATGAAATACAACAATATTTGTAAACTAGGATAAGCAATACAACCCCCATATCCTCCTCCCCTCCTCAACCACCCTTTCCCATGACCATCCCACTCCTCATAATCCCTCTCAACCACCTTTGCCCCTCCTCGTCCCCCAACCTCCTCAACCCCCTAACCAAAAATCCAAACAAGTACTCGTTCGGCATGCACCCATCTCTCTTCATCAACCCATAAAACTCCTTCACTTCCCTTTCCCTTCCCTCCCCCACCAGCGCCTTCAGTAACCTCGTGGGCCCCCTCAAATCCTCCCCCTTCACCCATCCCATTCCCCTCAACTCCCCTAAACCCCCCTTCAAGAATCTGTCAATCTCGCCGTCGAGGTTGCTGTTGTTGTTGGTTCTTGACAGAGAGTTGAGGATGCCGGTGTAGAGGGAGAAGAGAGAAGAGATCAGCGATCATTTGTGGCTGCTTGTAGCCGGTTTCCAGTGAGAGACGAGGGCATTTACGGGAGTTTTGCCAAAATACGCACAACGTATGTATAAATGAGGGCTAAAGGGGCTGGACCACACAACAAACATATTTTTTGGGGATGAAGCCCAAGGGGAATAATTGGTGGGGCTGGGCCACTTCAAAGTCTCCATTTTGGGGCCTAGACACAATTTTCCCTTCTTTTTGACATTGCACTTGCATAACCAATTATAATTAAACAAACACCCAAAACCCTAAATTATACTATGTATGTAAATACAATAAGCTCAATGGTTGTGTGTGTAAACAAAGAGTAAATCAAATCAAACTAAACTCAAATAAATTCTAGCTTAATAAAATGATAATCAAACAATTATATATAAATGTAAAGCTAGATTGAGTTTAGAAACACTTCTCTAAAGATGACAAGAGAGAGAGGGAGAAGAGTTGAATGCCCAAACACCAAAGAATGATCTCCTCAAGCTCTTGTGAAAGTTTCTTCATAAACAAACTCTTGAAACAAACTTAAAAACCCTTCAACAAACTTGTAAAACTCTTTTTAAAACTCTCTTAAACATCCATAAGAAACAATAAATGTTGAGGGCTTTTTATAGCCTCTTAAACCAGCCACAAACCCCCAAAAATCGAAAATATCAAAAACTAGCCGTTACTAGCCGTTATAGGCTGAAAAGACCAAAATACCCCAAAATCCAGCATTCTGGAAATTTGCGTATTTAGCTTTGTAAAATCAATTAAAAATAGTAAAACAGCTCCAAAAATTATGAAATTTTGAGGAAAGGTTATAGATATGTATAAAAACATGTTAGAGAAAGAATTTCTGAAAAATCATTTCCCAGTTGAGATAAATAAATGTTTGAACACAAAAATACAGTTTCTGAAAATCTGCTGTGATACACGATTTTGTAAAATCAATTAGGCACAGTAAATCAACTCCAAAAATAGTAAAATTTTGTGGGAAGTTTCTAAATATGTAGATAAACATGTCAGAGAAAGAATTTTTCAAATATCACTTCTCATTTGTGAAAACTCATCAGTTTTGTAAAACATGCACGAACATGTGCACGAACGAAAACGTGAATTTTAAACGTAACAAATCAATTTCAAACTTGATGAAACTTTGCGAAATGTTTGTAAACATGAAAACAAACATGTTAGAAAAAGAATTTCTCAAATTGAATTTCCATTTGTGAAAACTCATGTATTTTGCAAGTATGTCCAAAACATGAAAACCCAAAACCATGCATGTATATATATAACTATATATATACATAGAAACCAAATACGTGTGTGTATATGATATTGAGCTTAAGGTACTTAACACACATAATATAAAACCTAAACTAGATTACCCAAGCCGATCTTGATCTTCAATAAGCTTGACTCAAATACACTTTGCGGATGAAGCTTGAACTTGATCTTTAACTTGAATTGTATGTTGCTTCACTCCATAATTCCGCCAACCTCCATTTGATATCGTCGTTATGGTTCAATCCATCCATCCTCCTACAACGTTGTTTGTCTACAATAAATACAAAAACACAAATACTAGACAAACAACATTAGTGGTAAATTATTTGTTAAACATCATCAAAACAAGAAGGCCAACACTCGTCCCCCAACATCCTCAACCCCCTAACCAAAAACCCAAACAAGTACTCGTTCGGCATGCACCCACCTCAAATCAATCGACTAGTAAATATAACAAACTCAAACAGATAACCCCACTGAAGAAAACCTAAAAAAGAAACTCACTTGGGCATTTCATCAAATACCTACAACCCCCATCTCCTCCTCCCCTCCTCAACCTCCCTTTCCCATGGACATCCCACTCCTCATAATCCCTCTCAACCACCTTTGCCCCTCCTCGTCCCCCAACCTCCTCAACCCCCTAACCAAAAATCCAAACAAGTACTCGTTCGGCACGCACACATCTCTCTTCATCAACCCATAAAGCTCCTTCACCTCCCTTTCCCTTCCCTCCCCCACCAGCGCCTTCAGTAACCTCGTGGGCCCCCTCAAATCCTCCCCCTTCACCCCTCTCATTCCCCTCAACTCCCCTAAACCCCCCTTCAAGAACCTGTCAATCTCGCCGTCGAGGTTGCTGTTGTTGTTGGTTCTTGACAGAGAGTTGAGGATGCCGGTGTAGAGGGAGAAGAGAGAAGAGATCAGCGATCATTTGTGGCTGCTTGTAGCCGGTTTCCAGTGAGAGACGAGGGCATTTACGGGAGTTTTGCCAAAATACGCACAACGTATGTATAAATGAGAGCTAAAGGGGCTGGACCACACAACAAACACATTTTTAGGGCTGAAGCCCAAGGGGAATAATTGGTGGGGCTGGGCCACTTCAAAGTCTCCATTTTGGGGCCTAGACACAATTTTCCCTAAATATTAAGTCATAAAAGGACTTCTATGCAAAGAAAGAAAATAATAACTATAGGAATTGTCATGGGGCTTGGTGCAATTAGATATTTGTTAAGGAGATATGAATAAATGAAGGGGTCTCTATTTGTTTAGGGTTTGGGGACTTTTATGATTCTAGGTGTTTGGATTAATTCGTCGTAAAAGGTTAAAAAAATATCAATTGGTGAGGGGACTCGTGCGAGTTGCTACATGTTTAACTACAAATGACATTAATTGTTTGAGTGACTTTTATGGTTAACATATTACTTAATTATATATTTAGCAGTGGTGACTGATCTATAGTAGAAGTAATAATTGCTTGTATTTATTCTCTAGGTATTACTAGAGACTACGAATTAATATCATTGTGAGAGGGATTCGGGTACTCGTCCGGTGTTCTGTAAGTGGGGTACTTATACGTTACGCATTGTGTATTTTTTATCTAAAAGTTATCTTACACATGTGAATTATTTCCTCTATGGGCTATATCCTTTTGTATTATTTGCTCACATAGCACTTGTTGTTTGGATCGTATTTTGAGATGCACGCGGATATTTTGGTATAAATCATGCTTATTTTCTTTGTTGACAGTCAAGTCTTTTTCATATAGTAGTAGGTTGAGATAAATATATGGTTGATTTTTATTATTGGGTGGCCTTTGTCATATTTCTTTCTAAAATACTTGTTTATATGAACTTTGTTCATTTTTTTTTGAAAACATATGCATCTCAATGTCAATATACCGGTGTATAACGAAGATAAGTAAGCCATCTAAATACGTCTCAATGTGCCTCCATGAGATTTATTTTAGCGCTAAGCCTAAAATTTTATGTCTTAATGTCCTAATACAATGGGATTAATAAAAGTGGGGATACCATGTCTACCAGGATATTTGGCATTGACCACATTGAGACATAACCTGCTTATTGCATGAATCTATACTTTAAAAAATGTTGCATCAAATGTTGCATCAAATATGATAGTTCATTGATGGTTTTTTACTATTCTAATATTTTGCTTATCAAGTCAAAATATTTTAGTTTTTGGTAAAACTATTGTTTAATATACAAATTTATCCACTTATTGAGTTATGATCCCTTTTTTTTAGAGACTCAAAATTAGGTGGAGGTGATGGTTTCCGAATCCTTAGAAGAGAGCAAGGAATAAAATGTAGATTGCAAAATTGCTATTAAGTGAAGGATAAATAAAGGCTTCGATGTTTAGTTTACTTTTGGAAGACTGTAGTAATAAGAGTTTTTTAAGGTTGAAATCTCTTTTCTAGTTGGGAGAATTTTTATTTGCATTATTTGACTGGATAAATATAGTCTTTTGCTTATGGAGAATAATTGTTATTGGCTATTGAATTTAACGCTTAGATTGTTTTGGTGGTCATGTACTGATGAATGTATATTTTTTGGAGAATATTTTAACTGGTTTTGTCCGGCTCCAATGTTTCTTCGAGATCTTGAAAATTGGCGTCATGACAAAGTTCATGATCTTGCCAAATTATTTGGTATTGGTGGAAAGTTATATATCATTGTTCCTTGACATCGAATCCTTTACCATCAATTCTTTTCATGCATCAACTATTTCATTTATTTGTTTAGTTCTCTCTTTTTTCTTGTCTCTTTTAAATATCTTTTAAGGTTGATAACTTAACACATTAAAAGCTTAATTAAGGTTTATTTTTAACCCAGCCAATGTTTTTGATTTTCTGTTACATCCTTCTCTTCTACTTATCCGGTTTTGTTTATTGGTTTGGTCTGTTAATTTTAGTTTAGCCATCAACTTCTCAAACGTGGACTTCAGAAATCCAAATTCAAGGAGTTAAATCCTGCATCGTTTCACATTTCATGCGCCAACTGCGGAGCCCAGTTTCACAGAAATCAGAGGCAAAATCAACTAACAGCTTCCTCATTAAGAGCCTGACTCGAAAGAGAACTTGAGTTCTATGGATTGTGCCGATCGGCTAGAAATGAAAAATTCTCAAAAAATCTCGTACACAGTCTCGTGGAGCGGCATAGTTGTACCCAAAATTTTGCTGGGCGTTGATCCTTCGTTCACTTCAACCTGGAAGAGCCGATGGATCAACTTCTAGTTCTCAGGTACCCTGCTGTGTTCCCTTCTCGTAAAAAAGTTGCTGAAATGTTGAATACTAGCTAGCACAAGCAAATAAATTTGTTGTATAGGAAATTGGAAAGCAATTTGTCAGATAGTAAAGGCATTCCCCACATCAATTGAATCATACTCTATCTGTAACCTTTAGGTTGTATTTATGCAATTATAAATAAAGACAGTTGGCTATTCCCCACACACTATATTCAAATTGATGGTAATAAATATCAATTTAGTCCGTAAAGAATTTCTTTTCTCATATAAGTCCCAGAACAACTAATCATGCCCTGGATGCTTGTATCTGAGGAATGGTTAATTGAAAAGGCAGTTCAACTGTTCGATAAAATGCCCATGTGAAAATGTCCATCCAAAAATGGTAGCAGGGCTCAACCCAGTCGAGTTCGAGGTCTTCACGCTAACAAAAGATACAAGCATCCAACGTATGATTTGTTGTTCTCTTTGATTTAAAAAGCTCTTTTAACTGTTCGATACAATGTCCAGAAGAGATGTCATTAGATTTCTGAGCTGACTTGCCAACTAGAGTTCTCATACTACTATCTAGGGTTGGCAAATCGGTCAACCCGCCCGACCCGACCCATATAAAAGTTTGACCTGATCTGTATAATATTGACCCGACCCGATCCATCAAAAAATCGGGTCAACATGTTTATTAAACGGAATCGGGTCAACTCGTTTATTAAAAGGGTTACCCATCGACCCAAGTGGTCCATTTAAGTATTTTATAATTTTCTTGTACTTAACATAGAGTCCATCGCCAAAGATTTTATGATCCTATTTATCATTCATAGGTTTTGTTACTGTTTAGAAGTTTAGATATTTCCAGGGTGTTTTTTGGAAAATTTGAATTTTGAGTGTGTTTTTTGTTAATTTTAAAGGTTTAGGTTGTCGTTTGCAAATATCATTTTCTCAGTGGACTTTTCTAAATTATAAACTTTTATACCCTATGTAAGTTTTGACTTTTCGGTTTTTTTAATTTTGATTTTTAGGATGTTTTTTATAAGGGGTTTTTATTTCTAGCCCCATTTGTTTACTCAACTTTACCTATAAACCCAATCACTATTGCTTGTATCTTTAAACCCAATTAGCTTTTTGTATTTGTCTTTAAACCCAACTTTCAAAATACAATACTAGCATATGTGGGACCCCCTAAATTTTCCCTTAAATTCCAATTATACCCTTTCAGTTTATCTCATGTGTCCTTCATTAAGTGGGCCCCTTTAAAATTTTTTAAAAACTTAACAAAATGAAGAGAGAGAGAGAGAGAGAGAGGAACGTGGTTGTTCCTCTGTTTCTCTCCCCTTAGGCGCGTGAGAGGAGAGAAATGGTGAGAACCCACCTTTCCTCTCTCTCTCTCTCTCCCCCATCGCTTTCTCTCTCTCCATTTCTCAATTAACTCCCCTCTCTCATCCATTATTACTATATTCTTCCACTCTTATAAACCCATCAATTAATTCCCAACCACTTATCAATCCATCAATTAATTCTCAACTTCATTAATGTGTAGGGTGTGATTTTGGTGGTTATCAGGCTACACTTATAAGTTGTCACGCTACACTTATAGTTTATCACGCTACACTTACATGTTATCACACTACATTTTCAGTTTATTGCGCTACACTTACATGTTATCACGCTATACTTACAATTACAAGTTAAAAGAATTGCGGGACCTGATGGCATTTTCAATTATTTGAGGGACTAATTTCAAAAGAGTAAAGATTTAGTGGACTATAAAGGAAAACCCCAAACAATTAGCAACTGAGCCTTATGTACCCCCAACCCAAGCGCAAATTACTGTTCGAAGTTGCTATTGAACTGCTCCATAAAATGCTGGTACAAGCAATATAAGCGCCCATCTGAGGAATGGTTAACTGAGAAGGCACTACAACTGTTTGATAAAATGCCCATACGAAAATATCCATCCAAAATTGGTAGCAGAGCTCAACCTAGTCGAGTTCGAGAGATTCACACTAACAAAAGATACAAGCATTCAGGGTATGATTAGTTGTTCTCTTTGATTTAAAGTGCTCTTTAACTGTTCGATAAAATGCCCAGATGAGCTGTCATTAGATTTCCGAGCTGACTTGCCAACCAGAGTTCTCACACTACTACCCAACCTTTTTACATCTTTGATTAAGTCTTTGGTGACACTTATCACCCCCTCAACTATTTTCCTGTCTGCAAATTTTGTCCATCTCGAAAGATAAAGAATTCAGACTGCTAAGTGCAACTGGCCGGTGGGGGTATGGATGATAGTAACTTTTGCAATCTAGCTCTCCATACTAATCGATGGCATTGTGATAGTAAGGGATGAACTTACAATAGAAGGTAGTACGTTTCGCAATCTAGCTCCCTATACTAATCAATTGCATTGTGATAGTAAGGGATGAACTGGATCCTTCTGTTTAACTGAAAAGCAAAGTGATTGCGCGAGATAGACAATAAATTTGATGAAGAATGAGTTGCATCTATTTTCCTAGTTTATTGTTTTCAGACTAACAACTCCATATATCTCATGTAGTAGAAGTGAAGTTGTTTGCATTCTTTGATTTAGTTATAAACCTTTACTAGTCTTTTGCGGACTTTTCGTTGGCTTACTTGGAACATTCCTGATTATTAAGCAGATTAACAAATTTGAATTCTAAGAAAAAGAAGGCTGTGGATGAGAAGATCGATTAAAGTTTACATTCAGCCACACATTGTTTTGACAGAATTCAAATTTCTCTAGTGCCCTGTTTGTGAACGAAGATTTCATTTCAATTCATGGAATTGGGCCAGTTCCAATGTTTGAATGCAAAAATACTTGCGAGAATTTGGAATTGCTCAGTTTTGCTTAAACTTTGACAAAGTATTAGGCCGAGAATTCTAAATGACCACTAAAACCATGTCTTTTAGAATTCGAAAAATGCAAAATAAATTATGCAAATTTTGAAAATTGCAAAGAGGATCTTAAAATTTTAAAAGTACAAGAGTAACCCTTAACATTGTGAAATTTTCAAACAAGTCCTTTAAAAAATCGAAAAAATTAGAAAAACAACCTTATAACCTGAAAATTGCAAAAAAATGGTCTTAAGAATCTGAAAATTACAAACATTAAACAACACCTAGAAAAAGCTAAAATTGCAAATAACCCCTTGAAAATTTGAAAATAAAAAACCTTTGAGAATATCTAAGAATTGCCAAAAAAGCCCCTCAAAAACCTGAAAATGGAAAACAAACCCCATAGAAACTTGAATTCACATGAATTTCAAAATGAAAATTCAAGAATTGAAATCTAACTATTCCCAAACAATGAAAATGGAGTTGAATAACATAAAACCTAAAATTGCATTCTAGAATTTCAAATCAATTCCTTTGATCCAAAAGCAACTTACATTTATTTGGTGTTTTTTCAAACTACTTTCTTAGTTTCACGACCTTCATCTTCTTTTTATTTTAGTCAACTTTTTATTTTATACATTCTCGTTTGGCAATAGGTTAGTGGAGGGCTTAAGGGGTTTAGCCTTTCATTAACCTCCCAAATGATATAAACACTCAAAGGGTTAACAAACCTTAGCGTGATGGTTAATTAGTTGTTAACTCATCTAATGATGGGTTAACGATTCTGCATGAGTAGGCGGAATAAACTTTACTCCACCTGCGAGGCTAGGAATAGTCATTTTAGAAAATGAAAACAGAACAAAAAATGTGATACATGGAGAATTCTGTTGGAGGGGAAATGATAACAATATTTTTCCTAGGATTAACGATTTGGAGGGGGATAAAATTATTCTATTAAATTGTTTTTCTTCTTTTCTTAACATCTTTCAACTTACAAACCACACATATATACTACTACTACAATGACTCATAGATTTCCTAACAAAAACTCTTGAATTTCCTGACAACATTCATGCATCTACATATTTATTCATTTGACTCCTCAAACAACTAAATGATACTCTCAATTCCCAAGATAATTCAATCAAGTTTATTTTCAACATTATCCCTTAAACTTGATCCTTCAATCATGCCAAGCTTGTCTCACAATAAAGTAAACACGTCATGCTTCAATGACTTAGTAAATATGTCAGTCACCTGATCTTGCGATTTCATGAACTCAAGCTCAACTTCCTTGTTCTTTACTTGATCTCGGATAAAATGATATCAAGTATCAATATGTTTGCTCCTTTCATGAAATACCGGATTTTTTGAAAGTGCACTAGCCGCCTTGTTGTCAACACAAATTTTGGTCGCCTCTTCTTGTCCGAACTGAAGATTTTTGAGCAAGTTTCTCAACTAGAGTGCATGAGTGACACCCAAAGATGCAGCAACATTTCTGCTTCACAAGTTGAAAGAATGACTATCGACTACTTTTTTGAAGATCAAGTAAAACCAGTATCGCGGATAAAGAAAGTGTAACCAGTTGTACTTTTTCAATCATCAACATCTCCGGCCCAATCTCTATTAGTGTATGCAACAAATCCAAAGTTGTTAGAACTTGAATAAAACAAACTGAAATATGTTGTACCTTTGATGTATCGGAGAATCCTCTTTGCTGTTAACAAGTGTGAAGATTTCGGATCTTCCATATATCTGCTCACGAGCCCAACACCATTGAGAATATCAGGTCTTGTGCAAGTTAGGTAGCGAAGACTATCGACCAAGCTTTTGAAATAAGTTGCATCAACTTTGCTTCCACCATCTTTCTTGGACAACTTGACTCCACATCCAATAGGAGAACTCACACAATTGCTATCATTCATATCAAACTTATCAAGAATTGTCTTTGCATATCCCTCTTGAGAGATAAAAATTTCATCTTGGCTTTGCTTCATCTCAATGCCAAGATAATAAGGCATGCGTCCGATGTTTGTCATCTTGAACTCACGAACCATGGAGGTTTTGAACTCCTCGAACATTTGTAGATTATTTCCTGTAAAGATTAAATAATCCTCATACAAGCATAGAATAAGAACATCTCCAGCTTCATTTACCTTAGTATATAAGGAATGCTCATAAGGACATTTAGAAAAATTATGAGCTTGATAATATTCATCAATTCTACTTTTCTACGTTCTTTTGGTGCTTGTTTTAAGCCATAAAGAGCTTTCTTCAACTTCAACACCTTTGATTCTTCTCCTTTCTTGATGTAACCAAGGTTGATCCACGTAGACCTCCACTTCAAGAACACCATTTAAAAATATTGATTTCATATCAAGTTGATAGCTTGGCCATTTGTTCTGAGCTGCTAAGGTAATAATCAGCCTTATAGTTTCAAGATGAGCTACTGGAGAGAACACCTCGTCATAGTCAATTCCAGCTTTCTGCTTGTAGCCTTTGGCAACTAACATCACCTTGTGCCTCTCAATTTTTCCTTTTGCATTCTTCTTCTCTTTGAACACCCATTTGACTTCAATTGCGTCCTTACCCTCTAGAAGTGTTGCAAGCTCCCAAGTATCATTATTCTCAATAGACTTGATCTCTTCATCCATGACTGAACTCTACTTTGGATCTTGAACCACCTCTTCAAAGTTTAAAGGCTCACAACCAGCAAATAAGCAAAATAATGTTAAATCATCTTGATTCTCAGTTACCTCATACAACTCCCTCAAACTCCTAAAATTTTGAGGCTGTGGGCTCAATGATGATGAAGATGATGCTAAATAAGTCATCGATTTGGGGAGACTGAGGCGTGGTTGGTGATGATGTTGTCGGTGATGATAGAGTGCATGTCGATAGAGTATGTGTTGGAGAATCTTTCCCGACCTCAGTCTCTTCACTAATGAAAGTAATCGGGCTGTTACAAATTTCTCCATTGCTCCAGTCCCGTGATTTCTCTTCAACGAATTGAACATCTCGGCTAATAATGAACTTTTCACTGCACGGGTCATACAGGCGACCGATATGGCGGTTTTATCCCCTAGCCGCCACGATATCCTTCATTTCAATGCGTATTGCGTTTCTGAGGTCATGTCGGGGACATGTCGGAAAATATCGGGTATGTCGGGCGCCATTGCGGCCAAGAAATATCGGCCAAATTTTAGAAAAAGCGGTTTTAAGCTTGTTGGGTCAAGTTTGAAAACCCCGACTCAGAAATCAGGTGTCTACAATTGGTTAGTGATCCTAACATCAATAAGTTATATACTTTTTTATATGTTTAGACAATATAATTATCAAGTATGTGAAGATTCCATTTATGATATTACATCAACCTATCCGATATGGTAATCCGATATTTTTTTTCATGTCCCCCGATATATCCCCGATTTCTGCTATCCGACATGAATTTTGGCCGACCGACATGAACCCGACATCCGACATTTAAAACATTACTTTTCACTGCACGGGTCATACATCTTGTAACCCTTGCTTCTTGAATCATAGCCGATGAATAAATATGACTTTTCACTGCACGGGTCATACATCTTGTAACCCTTGCTTCTTGAATCATAGCCGATGAATAAATATGGAATACTCCTCTCGTTGAGCCTATTCCTCTTCTGCTCTGGAACATGAGCATAGCCAATACTGTCGAACACCTTGAAGTCGCTCACATTTGGTTTGTAACAGTCCAGGCTTCTTGTGGAGTAATATTTTTGAGACTCTGAGTTAGACACTGTGATGCGAAACAATGTGATGCAGGTATGAAGATTAACGACAACAATGCTTCGCCAAATCAGCGATCGATCTAGGCAGGAAGCTCAAGAATAAAGTGTAGCTTTCGATGGGTTTTAAGCAAAAATTGCAATGTACTAAGTTCAAATCTTTTGCAAATGATCCAGAAAATAAATGTAATGATTCGTTCTCTCAATACAGTTCAAAGTGTAATATTTGGATAAGTAAAAGTACTTAGCAACAGATTCGCTCGCTCACTTAATCAAACTGAATACAGCACAAATACGATTGATAATAATATTGATAGCAACATGCAAGCAAGAGCGGGTCCGAAAATATTTGGGCGAAAGAAAATTAAACCTTCGTCGGGTTGAACTGGTTCGACGGGAGGCTCCTCTGGTGGTGGTTCGTACACGCCAAAAATGAGGGGAGGAAGTTCTCCTCCGAGAGCCACTTAATTGGGATGAAGTGGCGCGTCTGGACTGAAACGTCTATGAAACGAACTGATACCTAACTGGGCTTCCACACTACCGACAATCTGATGAGTCACACGCTCAACGTACTCGGGCACGCTCTCGAATGACTGATAATCAAACCACGGGGAAAGTTGTAGATCTACTATGCCGGTCTCTGGATCTATCACGAGTCCGTCATCAGCATCAGGATCAGCCATACGCTGACAAAGCACATAAAACCAGATCCAATCTCAACAACAATAAGAGGAGACAAATTTGTCTCTGTGGGAGCACTGTTCACAGAATACAATAATAGGATCAATGAGTGGGTTCTGGAATTAATCAAGTGGAAAGAAAACAAGAGAGAGGGGAACGGATCTGTGGAGGAGAGAGAGGGAAACTGAGGTGGGGGTTGTTGACGAGGAAAATGAGGGCGGCCAGGACAGGGGATGGTGGCGTCGGAAGAGGGGAGGAAGGGGGTTGGTCGCGTGGTGGTGGGGAGCGGCTGAAGCTTTTGAAGAGAGGGTCGGTCGGGTTGGGTGCGGTTGCAGGGGAGGAGCGGCCGGAGATCGGTGGACTCGGGGGTGGTGTTAGGCGGTGGAGGAGGTCAGAGGGTCGGCGGTTTTGAAGAGGAGCAGGAGTATATGATGGGTTCTGTGATTTGAGTTGAGGGAGGAAGATGAACAGTGCAATTTTCGAATTTTTCTTTTGTTTTCTTTGTGAGGAAGAGAATGACGGCTGATGAAAAAAAATCAATTAGCTTAGGGTTTCACACCAAGATTAAGCAAATCAATTTCATTCATCTTCAATAATTTTCAAACTGATTACAGGAGAGTTTCTTAAGTAGGAGTTACAGTTTTTGGAATATCTCCTAAATCCCTCAAATCACTCCCATAACCAATTACATTAAATCAGCCCAATAACTACCAAATCAAAATTCAAAATTCAAAAATTCAAAATTCAAACTAATTATTACAACTTGAAATCAAAACCATAGTGCTGAAATATTGCGCCTCCTGTGCTGATAAACTCGGCGAAAATCTCGTGTATTAGTCCGGATGTCCCCATCATTCTCCCCGGGTGGGAGAGAACTCGACCCTGTCGAGTGTAAATCAGAATGGCTGTCATACTGCTCAAGAAGATCTGGATCCAACCTCTGCAAGTCATCCCTATCGAGACAGGTGTCATCTGACTCAGGTCGTCCTTTCCAACGTACCAAATACCTGCGGATACCACCATTGCTAGTAGAAACAATGTTATCATCAATAATAGTATCAATGTCATGTGCTGTATAAGTGGGTGATATCTGGGGAAGTGGAGGTAAAGGGGAGCTCTCAGAAATAGGCTCAGGGGTAGGCTCATCAACCAGTGGGTTGTCAGGGTTAAAATGTGGGCCTTTGTACTCTACTAAATCCTCAATATTAAAAGTCGAACCAATATTGAAACCTTCGGGAAGGTCGAGAACATAAGCATTATCATTAATTTTCTTGAGAATTTTAAAAGGTCCTGCACTTCGCGCATGCAACTTTTTAACAGCTCCCGGAGGAAACCGTTCCGGACGTATCCGAACCATCACGTAATCACCAACATTAAATTCTTTAAACTTTCTTCTTAGATTTGCTCGCATTTTATAGTTAGCATTGCTGTCATTGATCTTCTTACTGATGTCTTTATGCAAGTCATGAATGCGAGATGCAAATACAGATGCTGACTCAGATACTCTATGATGTGCAGACACGGGGACAAGATCTATAGGCTGTCTAGGTTTGTAACCATACACGACTTCAGCTGGACTGACACCTGTAGACCTATTAACAGAGTTATTATAAGCAAATTCAGCAGTAGGCAAATGTTGATCCCAACTCCTAAGATTCTCACCAACTAGCGATCTCAAAAGGTTACCTAAGCTCCGATTGACTACCTCAGTTTGACCGTCAGTCTGGGGATGAAAGGCCGTAGAGAATTGAAGTTTAGTTCCCATTTTGTGCCAAAGGGTTTTCCAGAAATAACTTGTAAATTTAACATCCCTATCTGACACGATTGTTTTCGGAAGCCCGTGCAGTTTAACAACTTCGTTGAAGTATAGCTTAGCCACATGAGAAGCGTCGGAAGTTTTGAAACATGGTATGAAGTGGGCCATTTTGGAGAAGCGGTCCACAACAACAAAGATAGAATCGTGTTTTCTAATCGTTTTCGGGAGTCCTAACACGAAATCCATACTAACATCCTGCCATGGACAATTTGGCACAGGGAGAGGAGTGTACAAACCAGTGTTCTGTTTACGTTGTTTTGCCAATTGGCAGATGTGACATCTACTCACTAGTCTAACAACGTCTCGTTTCATGCTTGGCCAATAGAAGCGGCTTTCCACTGCCTCGACAGTCTTGTTATTTCCAAAATGTCCTGCAAGGCCTCCAGCGTGTAATTCCCAAATTAAGAATTCCCTCAGGGAGGTGTCAGGAATACACAACTTGCGAAAATGGAAGAGATATCCATCCTTCAGGAGAAAACCATCAATTTCACGGATCACTCCATCATTCAGCAAAGTATAAACTTCGCTAAAATCAGGGCACGATTCATATTGGTCTTTGACTTTCTCAAAGCCGATTACTTCTGCACTCAAAGTGGAGAGGAGGTGCATGCGACGACTGAGTGCGTCGGCGGCTTTATTTTCTACTCCCGCTTTATGTTTGATCGTGTAGGTATAATCCTGGAGGAATTCAACCCAACGACCATGTCTAGCATTCAATTTCTTTTGGGAATGAATGTATCGAAGAGCTTCGTGGTCAGAGTATATGACGAATTCTTGTGGTAGCAGATAATGACGCCAGTGTCGAAGAGATTGTATCACCGTATAGAACTCTTTATCATAGGTGGAATAACGTTGTCTAGTGTCATTAAGCTTCTCACTGAAGTAAGCAACGGGATGTCCTTCTTGAGATAGGACTCCACCTATTCCAATACCAGAGGCATCACACGCAATCTCGAAGACTTTAGAAAAATCGGGCAGGCGCATGACAGGAGCCTGCAACATCCTTTGCTTGATCTCTTCAAATGCCTTGGTAGCAGCCTTTGACCACTCGAACTCACCTTTCTTCAAGCAATCGGTAATTGGGGCCATGATGGTACTGAAACCTTTGATAAACCGACGATAAACAGTAGCGAGTCCGTGAAAACTTCGAACATCTCTAATGCTCTTGGGTTCGGGCCATTCTTCGATAGCTCTGACTTTCTCAGGGTCAGCAGATACTCCTTCAGACGAGACCACGAATCCTAGAAAAATGACTTGCTGTGTAAGAAAAGTACATTTCTTAGGATTAGCATAAAGTTGCTCTTTTCTCAACACTTTACAGACTTGACGCAGATGGTCCACGTGCTGCTCACGAGAGTTACTGTAAATAAGAATATCGTCAAAGTACACAACCAAAAATTTTCCAGTGAAGGGGCGGAGTACTTGAGTCATCACTCTCATAAAGGTGCTCGGAGCATTAGTCAACCCAAAGGGCATGACCATCCATTCGTACAATCCATCTTTGGTCTTAAAAGCGGTCTTCCATTCATCACCGGGACGGATGCGAATCTGATGGTAACCACTCTTTAGATCAATCTTAGAAAAGATAGTGGCTCCTGACATTAGATCAAGCATGTCATCCAACCGGGGAATGGGGAAACGGTATTTCACCGTAATTTCATCCGATAGTGAGGCAAATTGGGAAGGGATGCTCCCGGGACTAAATCAATTGCGTGTTGGATATCACGCATCGGGGGTAATTGGTCCGGGAGGTCCTCAGGGAAGACGTCAGAAAATTCTTCCAACACAATAGCGACTTCTGGGGGAACTATGTTAGAAATATCCTTCGGAGTTTCTCTAGCGGCGAGGGCGAAAATAGGAGCTCCGTTGGCCAGTTCACGATCAATTTCTTTGGCTCCAATCAGGTTAACACCTTGGGAAGATTTATTTGGGTCGATCTTCTTGTCATTTCCTTTTGGTTGAACCGGAAGGATTTTGACCTTCTTCCCGTCGTGTTCGAACAATAACATGTTGGATCGCCCGAAGATGTGAACGTCGTTATCAAATAACCAGGGCCTTCCAAGAATAACTTGACCCACATCCATTTTCAAAACATCGCACCAAACTTTGTCTTTATAAATGGCAAATTGAAGAGGGACTAGGCATCTCTCTTGGACATTGAGGGCGGTGTCGTTAATCCATGATACCTTGTATGGATTAGGATGGGGGACAACCTTAAGACCAAGCTTAGCGATCACAGCTGAGGAGACCGCATTGATACAACTTCCACTGTCCACGATCACCTTACAATTTTTATCACCAATCTTTGTGAACGTATGGAAAATAGAAGTGCGTCTCCAATTATCAACAGTCTTGGGTTGAGAGATGGCGCATCTGACAACTGATACAGTAGGAGTTTCAATTTGTCTAAGACAACTCAAGATAGTATCATCAGCATCATCCTCGAAATCATCGGTATCATCGTCAATTTGATGGACAAACTCGTCACCTTCTGATTCAGGCTCGTATTCGTATTGTCCATCAATGATAGCAACCTTGTGACGGGTCGGACAGTTCGCAGAAACATGCCCATACCCTTGGCATTTGTAGCACTTGACGTGAGCTCCAATCTTGGAGAAATCTCTCTCCGGTTCCTTGCCTTTGGAATCGACTTTCGACTAGGAAGAACTAGGGTTATATCGACTCGGAGGATGACTAGAAGTAGTGGCACGAGAAGGTTGGGAAGAATGATTTCTAAAATCCTGACTCCTATAAGATTGATGGGATTTTGATTCATCTAGATCCTGAACTAACGCGTAAGCTTTTTCAAGGGTGTCTACTCCCCGAGCAAAGAGTTCGGTTTGCAG